AGAAGCTGCTTCACTAGAAGCCTTCCTCTTGGGTTTTGAAGATCCTTCTTCAGAAACTTTCCTCTTCTTCTTGTGTCTTGCTTCATAAAGATCTGGTTCAGGTTCGCCTGCTTTCTGAATCATATGTTCTGGTAGAGGAGTTTCATCTGCCAGACACGTTGCAATGTACTTCAGAATAATCTCCTTAGGTTCATTAGCGTAGAATAGAGGAAAATCATCCAGATGTATCCTTCTTTTGCTGACCTCTTCAGAGTTTATTTGCTTAGGTGCAGAAGTGAGTTCTTCTACAACTTTCATCCTCTGAAGACTTTTCCCATTCAGAGCTTTTCCAACTACAGATGCTAACTCTTCCTTCAATCCAACTTTCATCAGATGTCCAACCAGACCATTCTCAGTCAGAATGTCTGAAATGAGTCTTCCCATTGGAATCTAATTCCTCATCTTCTGATGTTTGGTTCTGACTTCTTCCCTTGATTGTTTTACGTGAGTCCACAGATGATTGAAAAGTAGATAAGGCAGATCCACTTTTGTGCTCTGACTCAGATAGTACATGAAGTACATCTGATCAGAATTTACATAATCAAGAGAGTTTGAAGACTTCCTGTGATGAATGTAACCCATAAAGATCTTAGCCCAGATCCTGTAGTTTGGCTTGAGATCTTTCACTTTGTTAGAAGCTTCTCCAGATGAGCAAACTTCCCTATAAACATCAGTCATATCAACACGCCCAGCTGGCAGATTTGTAACACCATCAGTTTCTTCATAACCTATGAGCTTCCTAATCAGATCCTCAGTTATGATGATTTCCTTACCCAGAACATATGAAACAATGAACTTAGGGTATGTGATAACATGGATCCAAAATTCCTTCACTAAACATGGATAAACTGGTTCCATCAGCCTATCAAAGAACTTTGTCCAACATTGAGCATCAACACTGGGACGAAGATCAAACCCATTTTCATTAATTGACTCAAAGTTCACAATAGATTCACACAAAACCTCAAGTTTGTCAACTGGTGTGAGTAGGGTTCTAACTAGTTCCTTGAAAGCAACAGTTCCCATATTTGCAGAAGAGATAGCAGCCATTGTTGATTGAAACTGAATAGAAGTTGATGAAGAAGTAGCCTTTGTTGTTCTTGAGAGAGATTTAGGGTTGCGAATGGTTTTGGGTTTGGGAGAGAGATGAAAGTATTGAAACAAACAGAAATGCATACAAGAGTGTGAGTGAGTGAAAAGTGTGAAAAGTGAAGTGTTGTGGTATTTATAGAAGAAATTAGGGTACACAAGAGTCACATGTTCAACATGTTTACACTTATCATTTAATAAAAAGAATATAATCATTTCAAGCAATTAATGATTTTGACAATTTGGGGGGAAAACGAGAAACTCAATATTCAAAAACAGTACCTCAAACGTCAATTCAGTAATGTGCACTCCACCTTTTCAGATTTAGAGTTACACGTGTTTGCTTGCATGTGCTTCTGAAACTTCTTTGAGAAATGAAACGTTAGCCAACGTTCAGATCCTCTGAGGCTTGTTAGTTCAGATTTGTACACAATAAATAAAATATTAAATAATAAATAAATAGATGTAATACTTTAGAGTTAAAACATTTTCATCTGAGGAAATTTTCTTCTGATAAACATTTTATTCTGGACAAAAATACATACTTATATTTTTCAGAATAAATTTAAATCTATCTTCAGCAAAGGGTTTTATAAAGATATCAGCCCAATGATGGTCTGTATCAATAAAGTTTAAACTGATAATTCCATTCTGAACATAGTCTCTGATGAAGTGATGTTTTATCTCTATATGCTTAGCCTTAGAGTTTAAAATAGGATTTTTAGACAAGCATATAGCAGAAGTATTATCACAGAAGATTGAAATGTTACTCTCATGGATCTGATAGTCTTCTAGTTGACTCTTCATCCAGAGCATCTGAGTGCTACAACCAGCAGCATCAATGTATTATACTTCTGTTGTTGAAAGCGCAATTGTGGGTTGCTTCTTGCTGAACCAAGAGATCAGATGACTTCCAAGAAACTGGCAGCTTCCAGAAGTACTCTTGCGTTCTACTCTGTCTCCAGCAGAGTCAGCATCACAGAATCCAACTAATTTATAGTCATCAGATCTTCTGTAATACAAACCCACATTAGTAGTACCTTTCAGATACCTTAAAATCCTCTTAACAGTTGTTAAGTGAGATTCTCTAGGATCTGGTTGGAATCTGGCACACAGACAAACACTGAATAGAATATCAGGTCTAGAAGCAGTCAAATACAGAAGAGATCCAATCATACCTCTGTAGAGCTTTTGATCAACCTTCTTACTTACCTCTTCCTTACCAAGAGTGCTTGTATAATGCATTGGAGTTTTTGCTAATTTGCTTTCAGTCATGTTAAACTTCTTCAAAAGCTCCTTCACATACTTAGTCTGATGTATTTAAGTGCATTCTGGAGTTTGGTTGACTTGAATTCCTAGAAAAAATCTGAGTTCTCCCATCATGCTCATCTCAAATTCAGCCTGCATAGATAGAGCAAACTCCTTTCCCAGCATAATATTGGTAGATCCAAATATAATATCATCTACGTAAATTTGACAACTTAACAAGTCTTTCTTAAATGATTTATAGAAGAGAGTTGTATCCACTTTGCTTATGATAAAATTCTTTTCCAGAAGAAAATTACTTAATCTCTCATACCAAGCTCAGTGAGCTTGTTTTAAACCATATAGTGATTTCTTAAGTTTGAAAACATGTTCTGAAAATTTATCATTTTCAAAGCCAGGAGGTTGATGAACATAAACTTTCTTTTCTATAATACCATTTAAGAAGGCACTCTTAACATCCATCTGATACAGAGTGATGTTATTTTGTGCAGCAAAAGAAATGAGTAGGCATATAGACTCTAACCTGGCCACAAGAGCATAAGTCTCTGTGTAGTCAATTTCTTCTTGCTGACTATATTCTTGAGCAACTAGCCTTGCTTTGTTTCTTACAACTTCTCCTTACTCATTCAATTTGTTTCTGAAGACCCATTTAGTTCCAATGATGTTGAAACCTTTTGGTCTTGGAACCAGATCCTAGACGTCATTTCTAGTGAACTGATTTAGCTCTTCTTGCATAGAAAATATCCAATCATTATCGTTCAGAGCCTCATCCACAGAAGTTGGTTCAATGATAGACACCAACCCAAAAAGTGACGTTCCAGATGATATGAGAAATGACCTTGTTCTGATAGGGTCATCCTTCTTTCCAATAATCATTTCTTCTGGATGAAAAGATTTGATTCTGGATGATCCTTTAACATTTGGTCCTTCAGAAATATTCAAATTGTTCATCTGAGCAGCCAATGGAGTTGCATCTGGCGTTGCTTCTGGTGCTTCTGCTTGAGCTTTATCTGCCTCTAAGTCTTCAGAGTCTGTGAGAATGACTTCTCTATCTGCAAAATTTTCAAGCTGCTTTACCTTTTGATTGCCAAGCTTATCATCAAATCTAACATGAATTGATTCCTCCACAATCTGTGTCTCAGTATTGTATACTCTGTAGCCTTTAGAGCGTTCAGAATACCCAAGCATGAAACACTTATGTGCTTTAGAATCAAACTTGTTCAGATTCTCTTTAGTATTCAACATAAAACATACACATCCAAAAGGATGGAAATAAGAAATGTTGGGCTTTCTATTCCTCCACAGTTCATAAGGAGTCTTCTCCAGAAGAGGTCTAATTGGCACTCTGTTCTGAATATAATAAGTTGTATTCACTGCTTTTGCCCAAAAATGTTTTGCCAGATTAGTCTCGTTGATCATGGTTCTGGTCATTTTTTACAATGTTCTATTTTTCCTCTCTACAACTCCATTCTGTTATGGAGTTCTAGGGAAGGAGAAATCATGTGCAATGCCATTTTCTTTAAAATATTTTTCAAAATATTTGTTTTCAAATTCACCACCATGATCACTTCTGACTTTAATAATTTTAAAATCTTTTTCGTTCTGGACTTGTTTGCAAAAGTCAATGAATTCAGAATGAGACTCATCCTTGTGTTTCAGGAATTTTACCCATGTCCATCTGCTGTAGTCATCAACAATGACTAATCCATACTTCTTGCCTCTGATGGATGCAGTTTTCACTGGTCCAAACAGATCAATATGAAGCAGCTCTAATGGTCTTGAGGTTGAGACAACATTTTTTGTTTTGAAAGAAGATTTTGAAAATTTTCCTTTCTGATATGCTTCACAAAAAGCATCTGAGTTGAACTTCAACTGAGGAAGTCCTCTGACCAGATTGAGTTTATTAATCTGAGATATACGACTCATACTAATATGCCCCAATCTTCTATGCCAGACCCATTGCTCTTCATTAACAGACAGAAGGCATTTTGCATTCTGAACCTTAAGTTCTGAAAGATTGATTTTATAAATGTTGTTCTTCCTTTTTCCATTAAAGAGGATTGAGCCATCCTTTTGACTGACAACTTTGCAACATTTTTTATTGAAGATTATGTCATAACCATTGTCACTTAATTGACTTATGGACAAATAGATTATGTGTTAATCCTTCAACAAGTAAAACATTAGAAATGGAAGGGAGGTTACCATTACCTATCGTTCCAGAGTCAATTATCTTGCCCTTCTGGTTCCCTCCAAACTTCACATCACCTCCAGATCTAATGCATATAAATATTTTTAAAAACATAAAAAAGTAAAAAAAAAATTATTATTCTTTCATTTGAAAAAATTATTTCAAAATATTATATATTTCTTTTTGAATTCAATGTTTTTGAAATTATTTAAGAAAAAAGAAGTATTGCATTTATTTAATATATTTTATTTATTGAATTTCAAATTTTATAATAAATTTACTAATTTTTTTATCTAAATATTAAAATATAATTATTATATATACAAGAAAATTTCAATATAAATACAAAGCTGAAGCAAAGTAATGCACCATCTTTTGTTTCTTCAATCCCTTTGAGGGATCATAAACACCGACGATGAATTCTGTATTCTACAATTTTTCTTGGGACACATTTTCCGCTCCTTTTGATGAAAATGAGGTAAGATTCTATCAATCTTTAGAACAAGGATATATGGGGGATTTTATTCGTATTAAGGTTCGTGTTAAACATGAACAATGCATCGCTCCCCAACAATACCTTTCTATAATTTTACCTTTCGATGAGTTTTTATATGAGCAAATCATGTTTGTACCTTACCAAGATTTTCTACAACATGCTTGGATATACTTGCAAGTTTACTTTCCTAACAATATCATCCCCCATGAGTTGATGTACACAATGGTGCCGTTTTTAATGACATATGTCTGGGATGCACGAAGTTCACATTCTGGCTTTCATTACGAAAGTCCTCGAATTCGTGTTTTTCCTTTGGGTTTGGATGTTTTTGTTCAAAAGTTATTTGGTGAGTGTGACAATATTTTCATCAATAACATAACTGCGAGGTTTGACTCCATTGAGGATGCACAATTTGTTCCGGCATCAAAGGAAGCCATTGAATCTCTTGAGAAGCTGAAGATCGAAGATCTTGATGCCATTGAAAAGTGTAGTGTCTGTCAATTCGAGTTTAATGTTGGAATGGAGGTTACAAAAATGCCTTGCAATCATCTGTATCATCAAGAATGCATTGTTCAGTGGCTGGAAACTAGTCACATGTGCCCAATGTGTCGCTACCCAATGCCAACTTCAACCAGTGGCTGATTTATTTTACATTGTTGTTGGATTTAATTTATGTTTACTTTATTTTATTTGCAATTAATTGTCTTAGTTGAATTTCCAGAACATTGAATTTATGAGATTCTCTTATAATTATTCCCCTTATATTGATAAATTTCCTACCGAATTATAATATGCTAGCAGATTTTATTTACAGTGAGTCAACAATGTCATATATGTCAATAAAACGTATATTATCATTTAAAATACTTATACTTTTATTAAATAGGGATACATTTAATTTACCAATAAAATAAATGCCGGCAAAATACATGAATCTATGTATCTTTTTTTACTAAATCTAAACCATTATTGAATAAGAGTATATTTATTTTGACTAAAATAATATTATATCAATTCATTTTCAATAACATATGAACAATAAAATTTAAAATGTAATAATAAACAAAAAGAAATATAATAAAAAAAAATCAACATTGACCAACTCTTAACGTCCATGCAAGAAAGGAATATATTAATGGTATCATATTCTATATCAATTTAATATTTAATGAAATATCAATACAAAAATTAATTTTAAATTTTATTATATCTTATTCCTTAAGTAATGTCTAGATATTGTAAATGAATGGGGTGGAGCAAAGTGAAATGTAGCATAATAAAATAAAAATGTCATTATACTATTTAAATATTTTATAATAAAATATAGAATAATTTTGTCATATCGTACAAATATAAAATGATAGAATGTGATATAATACATTTCACCACATTCCATTCTACTTAATTATTTTTTAGTTAATCTACACAATAGAATATAAATTTATAACATTTATTCACTCTCATTTTACTCCATTCCATCCATCCAAACAAAACCTTAATTAAAACTCCATTTAATCTAGACATGAGTTAAATTCTAAGTCCATAAGATAAGATAATTATGAAAACAATTTATTGATTAATATTATAAAATGTAGTATAAAATAAAAAAAATATTTTAATAAATAAAATAATAAGTAGATTATAACAAACAAAAAAAAGAATGCAAAGAAAAGTTACCCAATGTATTATAATGGGAGAAACAACAAGCTAACTAATAACATCAACAATATAAGTAATATCAGGTCCGGTAATCGTGTGATACCTTGGACTATCAACTAAAGTATAATACAAAGTGAGATTTGCACTACTACAAAAAATATATTTTACCTCGGACGTGAAATAAATTTTACATCGGTTACACAAGTGAAGTAACGAAATGCGTCATAAAAAATTGTCAGTTTACTCATCAGTATTTGATTAACTGAGAGGGTAGTTGAAATGATCATTGGTTCGATCCCAAACAATAACATTTTTATATTTTTAAGCCTAGTGTCACATACCTCTCGGTTTAAGTAAAAAATCGAGGGAAAAATATTTATAAAAAAAATACAAATTACAATGTTTACACCGAATATTAAATCTCATTATTTACAAATATCCATTTTTAAAAATTAAAATATAAAGTTTCTTATGTTACATTGTTTTGGTTTCAATCTACAAGTACAAATTTTTGACAAATCTGATTCATCATCGTCATTCTTATTCTTGGAGAAGAACAACTCCAGGTTTTGTTGGATATCAATTATTTTTCAAGTTCAATGGTTTTTCATTCATCTAATTTCTAATCTAATATAAAAAATACATAACATAAAATTCTAGTAAAAAGATAAGATATTATGTAAGAACATCAACCTTGGAACGAAATTTTTTCTACACTTGCAGTCTATTTTAGAGATCTGTTCCAAGCTTCTTTAAATTTCACTATTTTCACAGGCTTTCATTATAAATGTTTGAGTTTCAAAAGATAGCGTCCAAGATATATAGTGGCAGTGTTCGTGTTCTTATTGGATGTAGAAGATTTCTTATGGATTGATGTGTTGAGAATATCTTGAGCGTTGTTACTTTATGAATGTAGTGCATAAATTAGTTGTAGGTTAAATGAGTAACTATACCCCTCGGTTCTTTTATAAAATTCGGAGAAAAATGTTATTTATTTTTTAATTAAAAAGTAAAGTAAAATAGGAATTTTTTCTATGGTTTTATAAAAAATCGAGGTAATATATTACTTGCAAAAAAAGGGTATATGATAAAAAAATTGAAAGTAACATGTATTATTTTTCTTTTTCAATTTTTTACCATTCACCACTTTTTTTGTATGCTGAAATATTCAAACTAAATACTATATTCAAAACAAAGTTTTCAAGATCTTGTAATGTGAAATAACACCATTGCTTGCAATTTACAGTATGTTTAGGTATTTATTTCTCAATGTTGTTAAATGAGGAAAACAATAAATAATGGAGTACTTTTACCTTTGACTCATAACATAGGAAATTTTTTCTAAAATATAACAATGACCTTGCAAGAGGTGGAAACAACAATAACAATAGCAACAACAACAACAACAACAACAACAACAGAAACACCATAGTATGAGATAGATTGCAAGAGAATAAAAAATATTTTGTTCAAGGTTGGTGTTAGAATAACAACATACAATAAAGAACCTTAAATATTTTGTCGATCTTGCAATCTATTCCAAGCAATGGTGTACGTGTTTGGAGCGGTTATAGATGAGTTAGATTTAGGGTAAAACTTCATGATCGAGTACTTTTTTCGTAAAATCTTGTTGTTCCTTTGGTTGGCTGCTTTAGGAAAAGCAACATGGAAAAACCAAGATGAATTTGTGAAGAGGCAACATGTCAGACATAATGTCCAGCATGTGTGCAACATCTGTTCTGAGTATCGAAGACAAAATTAGTGAGTAAATCTGAGCGCAATTTTTTATAATCAAAGAAGATTTGTTAGTTCTGTTTTGTATCTTTTATTTTGTTATTAAATAAGATTTGCTAAAAATATTGTCCAATACCAAATCATGTTGAATAAGATTAAATCTCTTGATAGACCTAATGAATAAGGAAATAAAATCGGTGTTGGAAGTTATGGACAATCAATGTCCACAGAAGTATTCTAATATGACAAGAAAATATTCAAGTGAAGATTTATTTTGAGTTTAAAAATATGTAATACTTGTGAAGTGTTGCAGTAGGTTTGAATTCAGAAATAGGAAACACTTCATGAAGTGTTGCAGAATGAAAGTATGCAACTCTTGAAGAATGTTGTTGTAGGTGAAACAATGTAACTTTTGGCAAAAGCTTGTAACTTTTGGTAAAAGAAAATTGTTTCACCAAGGGTCATAATCTTGTAAAACAACACCAATATGACCTTGTAAATAATTCATTCTAGATTCAGAAAAATATAACGAAAACATACATCTTCTTCACTAAAATTTCAGACACTCTTCCTTAAATTCGAGTTTTCATTGATCTTGTGCAAACTCGAGTATATGCTGAATTATCCTAGGTATTCATCCGTTCTGATCCATTTGAGACGTGCAAACTCGAGTTTTAAGAAATGTGACTTCGTTCACGATTCTAGTCTCGATCCATTTGATTTATAAATTAATTTTAATAGAAATCTTAAAAGTATTCCAAAATAATAGCAACCGAGACTTCTGTTTCAAGCATTAAAGAATGAACTATTGCGTTGTAGATACATTTAAAACTGGATAAGAATCGACATCATTGATTTGGATATATTCTTATCATTTTTTATATATCAAGATCTTAAACATAAAATTTATTAAAAGTTGATATCATGATTATGGATATTATGATATCTGATTATAATTGTATCCACGTGAATTAAATTTCTTAGAAGAATGACTGTCAAACCTAAGGGTGCGTATAATAGATCACAATACTTCAGATATAAATAGAGCAAGTTATTCCTCACAATTTCAAGCTTGGATAACCCCATTAAACCTCTGCTCAAACTCAGAATTTTTTCAGAAATTTTCAGAGACCGTGTTTAAGTTCCAGGCTCTTTGAACACCATGTCTTGTTTCCTTTCACATACTTGATATCTCCTGAAGCTCTTACAACATTTCCCAAGCCTTGAGAGCCTCTGAATAGTGCTAATAAACTCCAACTTTCTTCACTTCTGATCATATTTGGACGAGGTAGTTAAAGGCTTCGTTTTCACTCAAACAAGTTCCTATCATGTAGCTTATTCTTCCTTGATGCTTTTCCATACCTTACTTTACTTTGATTCATCGTATACTTAGTTTAATTTGAGTTTTCGGTTTTGCTTTCTCTGCATGTTTCTCTAAAATTCTCCATGCTCAGTTTATATAAATGAACTTCGAGTCTATAGTTGGATTTATGATGAGGTAACAGTCACAATGGTGGTGGTCTCATTCTCTAATGTTACTATTTGCCAAAACACTGGTGAGAAGCAACTATAGAAGATGACCGGAGATCAACATTGGTGGTCTGAGTACACGTGGTGGCACACATTATATTTTCATTAGCTGATTCAAATTCAATCCAACGCGTTATTTCACTTAAAGTCTATCATGTACCACAAGATCTGGACCACTGGATGCACATACTTTGGCCAAATGACTTCAATATGATGGTTCTCTTTTTTTCTTTTTCTTTTCTTTTTCTTTTATTTTTTAAAATTCATATTAAATCATATTGTCATCCAAAAAATTCAAAAAATTATTTTCTATTATTTTACACCTTGTGTAATTTTTTCACAGTTTTATTTTGTATTTTAATATTTTTCATTAATTTTCTCTTTTTGCATGCATTTTAATTAGTTTAAAAATATTTTCCATGCATTAAAAAATCTCAAAAAATTATCATATATTTCTTGACTTGTTTTTGATTTTTCATGATTTTATTGAGCATTTTTTTTGATGTTTAGATGCTTCATTTTCATTTTACATTTTATTTTCCATTTAAAAAATCATTTAAAAATTGTTTAATGCTTTATTTTAATTCCTTTTGCCATTTTATATTGTTTTTGACTTCTGGTGTCTTGGATCATGCCTTTTGATCATAAATTTCATCAATATCAATGTACCTTGAGTGTTGATAGGTTGAAAATCCTAATCCACCAAGATAGGTGGTTGA